TGAGGGGGAGAAGAAGAAATTTGAAAGTTGGTTGCGACATCGACGTCTTGGACATGCCTCTTTTGGTTATCTTAAGAAATTATTTCCTAGTTTATTTGGAAACTTTGATGTTTCTAGCTTCCGCTGTGATGTTTGTGAACTTGCAAAAAACCACCGTACATCGTTTCCATTAATTTTGCATAAAAGTCATCTTCCCTTTATGGTTATACATTTTGATGTTTGGGGTCCATCTAAGGTCACAACCCTTGGTGGATCACGTTAGTTTGTTACTTTTATTGATGATTGTACTAGGATGACTTGGGTGCACTTGATGAAATCCAAAAGTGAAGTGTATTTTTTATTTAAAAAATTTCATAAAATGGTGCACTCAGTACAATGCACAGGTTCAGGTTCTTCGAAATGATAATGGAGGTGAATATTTGAGTTATGAATTTCAACAATATTTGGAAGCACCTGAGATTGTTCATCAAACTACTTGTCCCAACACACCTCAACAAAATGGGGTGGCAGAGCAGAAAAATCATAATTTATTAAGGTTGTCTGTGCTACATTAATAGAAGCTCATATGCCATTATCCTATTGGGGAGAAGCACTTACATCTAAAATATACTTGATTAACCAGGTACCCTCTAGCACTATTGACTTTCAAACACCATCCCAAGCACTTGTTGAAGCCATTGTTGCTCATGTTGTTTCAAACTTATTTCCTCATGTCTTTGGTTGTGTAGCTTTTGTACATCTCCATTGCGATGTGTTTTCGTAGGGTACGCTACTTATCAAAAGGGATATCGATGTTATCATCCTCCAACTCATAAAATGTTTGTTACATTAGATGTAGTTTTTCATGAAGACTCAATGTATTTTTCCTCTAAGCCTGAACTTCAAGAGGAGAATCAGGAAGAAGTTCTGACTCTAGACTATGATTTTCATGTATCCGTAGAAAGGGAAGTCACTAAATAAGTAGAACTCTTTGAATCTAGAGGGAGCTCTCTGAATCTAGTGTTGAATATGGTAATTTGAGTGAATCAAATGTGAGTGGTGCAACTTTGGATAAAAGTGGTGATGAACATTCAGAATCTGCAACAATTTTGGCTTCATCTCCGTCTGAATTACTAGTACGACAAGTAATTGATACGCCAAACCAATCATCTACTGAGGATGTTCCTGATTTTGAGCCTGAATCATCTAGAAAACAACTACCACCACGTTGCACTAGAGGTATCCCTAAACCCACATATGAACCTGAACTTTCTAATAAAGTTAAATATCATATGAGTTGTTATGTGTCTAACCATCACTTGTCAGAATCAAATCAATCTTTTGTAAATCAATTATCTATTGCATCTATTCCGAACAGTGTGCAAGAAACTTTAGCTGACCCAAGGTGGAAAGCTGTTATGAATGAGGAGATGAATTTCTTGCATAAAAATAAGACTTGGGAACTTGTTGATTGTCCACCGGGAAAGAAATCAGTTGGATGTCGGTGGGTTTATATTGTGAAGTATCAAGCAGATGGTAAAATTGAACGCTATAAAGCAAGATTGGTGGCAAAAGGATACACTCAAACCTATGAGATCGATTATACAGAGACATTTGCACCTGTAGCTAAAATCAACACAATCAGAGTCTTGTTGTCTCTAGCGGCCAACTTGGAATGGACACTACAACAATTTGACGTGAAGAATGACTTTCTACATGGGGAGTTGTCTGTAGAAGTTTACATGGATCTCCCTCTATGATGCATGTTACTAGAAACCCATAGTAAAAAGGTGTGCAAATTAAAGAAATCATTGTATGGGTTGAAATAATCTCCAAGAGCATAGTTTGGAAGATTTACAAAATCTATGAAAGCCTTTGGGTACCGTCGGAGCAAAGCAGACCACACTTTATTCTTAAAGAAACAATGTGGTAAAATCACTGCACTGATTGTATATGTGAATGACATGGTGGCCAGAGGAAATGATCTTGTGGAAATGATGGCTTTACAAAGTTACTTGTCCAGGGAATTTAAAATGAAAGACCTTGGTTCTTTGAAAATTTTTCTTGGAATTGAAGTATCTCGATCTAATAAAGTAAAATTTCTATCTCAAAGAAAATATACCTTAGACTTATTACAAGAAATTGGCATGTCAGCATGTCAATCAACCGATACACCAATAGAAGAAGGGTTGAAGTTATGTGTAGAGTCTAATCAAGTACCTGTTAATAAAGGGAGATACCAAAGACTATTAGGGAGATTGATGTACTTAGCCCAAACTAAGTCAGACATGCATTGAGTATTGTTAGCCAATTTATGCATAATCCTAGATAGCAACATATGAATGCAGTTATGCACATTTTGAGGTATTTGAAGTCAGCTCCTGGGAAATGACTATTATTCACTAAAAATATATATATCATCAAAGCGTGGATGCATACACTGATGTTGATTGGGCTTAAGCATTAGATGACAGACGATCTACTTCAGGTTATTTCACTTTTGTAGGTGGTAACCTCGTTACATGGAAAAGTAAAAAGCAGAAGGTTGTTGCACGTTCAAGTGCATAGGTGAATATAGAAGTATGACACTTGAAATATGTGAAACACTATGGCTAAGACTTCTCATCATGGATTTGGGGTACCCACTTAAGCAACCAATTCGACTATATTGTGACAATAAAGCAGCGTGTGACATAGCTCATAACCCGATTCAACATGATCGTACAAAACATATAGAGATAGACAAATTTTTCATTAAGGAGAAGTTGGATGAAAAAATTGTGGAGCTTCCTAAAATTCAATAAGAAGATCAGTTGGCAGATATCCTTACTAAAGCAGTTTCAAATCGAGTGTTCTTTAAGTTTTTAGACAAGTTGGGCATGTATGACATCTATGCACCAACTTGAGGGGGAGTGTTGAGATATTTAATTATTTTTATTTCCTATAATTTAGGGATTTTACATCTATAAATTAGATAAACAAAGCAATTAGATTGATTTGTGATATAGTTTTATTATAGGGTATTCCTTAATACTATATATATATATATATATATATATTTGTATTCTTTTACCAAGAAAGAGAATAAGATATACATTTAAACAACCAATATTTGACCCTACCCGCTCACCTGGTATGGCCCGATCATAATCGGGTCTGAATAGGATCGGGTCTCATTAGGTATAGGGTCGGGTCCGATTTCAAAAATTAGACCCAACCAATATTTAGGGTCGGGTAGGGACCAAACATGACCCGTTCCGACCAGTTCCATGATCAATCACTCATGTTGTTTGGATGTGTCTCTGTTCAAATGTATACATAGTAATGATACATTTTTTGTCAAAAATATCATTGATTTTCTAAAAAAATTCATTATATAAACTTGTTTAATAATATATATATATATATACATATATTATTTTATATGTCAAATTACATATTTACAATAATAAATAATATTTAGAAGATTTTATGTTAAATGAGTATTCGTTATATTTAATCGGGTCTAGGTTCAGGTTTAAAGGCTGAACCTGTGAATATTTATGGTTGGGTTAACTACGGGTCTAGGACCAGTTTCATGTTCAGAAAAATAGTCCGACTAACATTTAGGATCGAATAAGAACAAACATTAACCCGTCTCAACCCAACCAATGTCCACCCATAATCATAACTATGTTTGTAACATATAATAGTCACAGTGGGAGTAAAATTAATTTTAAAGTAACATAATGTATTAAATAGAAAATGATTAAATAACAAATTGAGCTCAATGATAATAAATGAAGGAATAAGCAAATGTTCCAAGTTAATACAAATAGTTTTTAATGCTTTTCAAATACTTCTACTGAGTGTGATATCATGATTATTTATGTTTCAAACTATTTATATATTTATAGATTGTTCATTTAATATTGCAATTTGCAAATACGGGTTGTAAGCTTATTGAATTATAGCATTTCAACTTTAGTCTTTATAAACTTTCACGTGAACCAATTTGATCCATAAAAAATAAAAATTCAAAATTGTATTCAAAGATTAAGAATGTATTTCAAAATAGTCCCTATTAGGGATCATAGAACACGTTAAAAATGTCTAATTTAACTCATATTTTAGATATTTTGGACCATGATAGATTTTTCAAATTTTGAGACATAGTAATTTTTTTTATCTTTAGAGTTTAGTTCTTTTTCTCTTGCTTCTGCAGTAAGCATAAGTTGTGTATGCCACTTCTTTATGTCAATTCTATGTGTCACTAATGACAAATTGACACGTCAATTAAAGTTGCACCATAATAACTAACCAAAAGTTAACAAAACATAAATATGAGTTTGTAATTGGTGTCACATAGAAATGACATAAAAAATTGGCATAGACAATTGTGCTCTTATGCAGTTCTATTAATATTTTGTAGTCGTTCTGATCTACATTAAATACATTGGAACGGTAGTTGATGAGAGAAACTTGCTTTTCTATGGAGCAGCCCAAAAAACATCGACTTACATGATGATTTTGGTTTGGGTGAATACTTTGATATGAAAACATAGGAAAACATTAAAAACAAACCAAAATCAGCTCTCCAATTCATTTTGGGTGAAAACATTAAAAACAAACCTAAATCAGCTCTCCAATTGAGTTTGGGTGAAAACATTTTATTTTTTAACTAGAACCAAGGCAATACATTGAAGCAGCAATACATTGAAGCAGCAACACATAGAGAAAAAGCAAAAAAAAAAATGATAGTTTCTTATCCATTTACCGATTAATGTCGGGAATACATCTGCTATCTCACAAAAATGTATTAAATAAAAAATTAAAAAAATTGATTAGGTGGAATAAAAAAAGAAAGAGGTATTTGGTTGTTGAAAATAATAAACATAAAAAAATTAAGAAAATTGATAAGGTGGAATAAAAAAGAAAGAAAAAAGGTACTCGGTTGTTGAAATTAATAAACATTTTTTAGGCCACGGAAGTCCAAAAACCTGGATACAGAAGCCCAAGTAGCAAAAATATAAAAACAAAAACGAATAGGGGTGTTGCGAGAATCGAACTCACGACCTCTCGCACCCGAAGCGAGAATCATACCACTAGACCAAACACCCATGCTTATTTCAAGGTTCGAATTAATTATAAAACAAAAGACAATAACAATGATATATTCTCTTACTAAATCCTCCTACTCACAAGAAATTGACATATGTTACAAAATGATACTTTATTTATTATTGATTTGTTTACAAGTGACATGTGTCACTTTTGTGGGTATAAAAATTTAGTAGGAGAATACAACATTACTCTAAGGTGACAGATTCAAGTTTTACTACTACCATTTTTAAAAAATAATGAACGATGGCACCAAAACTGTGAAGGTTTTATGGTAATCTTTCCTCATAAAATTTATGGAGATGATAATCATAGGGTACTAAATAAGGCAAAAAAAAAACTACACAAGGTCATGAATTTTCTTCATACAATTTTTTTATAATCATTTTGTACAATGGATTTATTTTAAATTTTTTGTTGCAATGGGATCACTCCCTCTTTTGAAGATTAGTTACAGTTTTCTGGGATGAAAAAGACTCTCACACAAAGTATATCACTTTATATTTCATTTTGTGTGATTGGCAAAAAAATATTAAAGTGTTTAAGTATTAAAATTAAACAATTTTAATTTCTATTTTGTCCATAAAATTAGGGAATCAATATATATAATGATACACCTTTTGAAGACAATAGATTTTATTCTCAATCTTTCATAGTCAAATGTATGACCTAACTTGCTTTTCTTTTCCAATTTATATGCAAACACGACCAATTTAATTTGCCTCATATATTATATATCATTTTAATATTGTTTCATGATTTTTTTTATAAACTTATATTTTTCACATGATACGCCAGTAACAAAATTAGGATGGAAGTAACATCTATAATTTCAAATTTAATAGACAAATCTGAACCATAAAAGTTTATATAATGGTTCTTCAAAATAAAATAAAGTTGGAAGACAAAAAGACTAATATTTGGAGGCAAATTAATCCACCCTTTGTCATGTATAACTTTTTCCTATCAAGTGATTTATTACAAGTACAACTTATGGTGTTATCAAGAAAATGTCAGTCTAGTGTTATAAGATTTTGCTAGATCTTAATGATTAGCAAAATATCAATGATTTGATTCATGTGAACAATACTTATTAGATGGAAAGTCACATACTCCGAAATAAATTAGTTTCTTATCCATAGGGTGAGGAGATACCATTGGTAATACAAAATTATTGGAATTACAAAAAATGCCATTTAACTTTTCAAAATCAGAGAATAAATTTAGCCCAAAAGAAAACGTGAATCTAAATTTAAGTAAGAGTAATTACTCATTTTGATCCCTCATGTTTTTCGTGGGTACCAAGTTAGTCCATAAAAAAAAGTTATTGTCATTTTAGTTCATAACAATTTAGACGTTAGGTCATGTTAGTCATTTCATCAACTCCTCTCCGTCAAGTCTAATAGAGTTGCTCACGTGCCATGTTAAGTGCTCACGTAGCCTCCGTTTGACACAGTCCTACATGAACTTTATGACACGTCATCAAAACATTGTTGTTAATGCAACAAGACAAATGAAAATTCTTTGAATGAGCCCAAGATTGTGATTAACAACATTGTAGAAATTGCAGGTTAAGGAAGGACAAGAGGTAGATGTTTTAGAGGATGTGTTGCTATTGGTAATTCGAGGGGATCGAGTTTTGGAAGAGGTTTTAGAGGATCTATGGCTATTGGTAATTTGTGGGGATGGAAGAGGTTTTACTAGAAGAAGTTATAATTAAAAGATGAGAATGATGTATCTCCTGATATAAGGAAATACATTATTCTCATCTTTTAATTATAACTTCTCTTGACATGTGTACAATTTAACCATGACATGTGTATTATTTAATCATTACATGTGTATCATTTATCATTTTCTATAAAAATATTTCTAAAATAAAACAAAACAATACACATGTAATTCTTTTACTGGCTGAGAGGAGGTAAGTTATCTCCTGATATGAGGAGATATTTTATTCTCTTAAAAGATTTGTACCTAGAGAATAATGTATGTCCTGATGTGATGGTGTGAGGAGATAAATTCTCTCCTTAAATCAGGACATACAGGACATAGGTTGAATGTAGGTAAGGGAAAGCATGATTGTTCATAATTATAAAAGCAACACCAATGTTAATGAATCATACCCTCTCCATTATTAGAGACGATAGTTATGTTAAAATGCATAGAAAAACCAAATAGCGTTATTTTTTAATTTACACTGAGATTATATTTTTAATCTTAAAATTACACTAAAAAACATAATTGTCCTCTCGAGTAATTGAAAAGAGTCTTTATTCAATGTTAACAATATAATTTGGTTAGTAGGATAGGTGATTCTAATGGTGAGGATACAATAAATATGTGCACCAAAGAGGGAATCAAGATAAATCAAAGGTAACTTTTTTCTTGGGGTTGTTTTGAATTAATCCCCTTGATGTTTAACTCTCCTCTAAAATTAGGGACTATGGGGTGACGTGAAATAACTATCATTTCTAGACTTTTTATCTCATCCACTTCCAAACCAACTAATTAGTAAGTGGAGTGGATTAATGTGGTCTAGCCATTTTTAATGTACCTATCAAATATTTTATAACTGTAATTTGTATGTATTATTAGTATAATATTTTATATATACTAGTCATTACATTATTCATCAGTTATATTGCTTATACTTAAAAGTTAATAAAAGTTAAATATAAATAGTGAATGATCCAATCAAGATCTTAGTAATATGTCTTTTTTTTATGCCACCTATATTAAAAATTATGTTCATGGAGAAACCCATTTACAACCAACAAATGTGGAGTTGAAACGGGTTAGGATCCTCTCCATTAATAGAGAGACAAGTATATCAAAAACCAATGGAAAATGTAATGTTCAATGACACATGCATCCTTTTGATTACAATACAATTACAATTTTGTCATTAAAAACAAAGGAAAAAATACACTTGTCTCTTCATTAATGGAGATGTTACTAATTCGAGTTGAAATCTATTAATGGAGATGTTATTGTATCATCTATTATTTATGTTTTATTATCATTGATTTATTTAAAAAGTAATACAAATAAATAGTTGATGATATATTAAATGTGCACAAATTTTTTACACAATAAATATATAGGTATTACATTATATATCGGGCTTCATAAATTCAACTATTTGGGAACATCTCTATATAGGGATATTAAAAATACCGGAACATGGGTACCCGTAAAAATACATATAATGGGTACCCACAAAAATAATTTATGGGTATGAATAAATATCATGATACCCGCTTCGTGGATACCCGCATATATATTTTAATTAAATATTTTATATTATCATATACATTTCATATTAACCAAATAATAATTATTTTTATATATTAATTATTATAAAATATATAAAAATGTAATTAAATTGAAAATCCATTTGATTACCAGCGAATACCTATTACTTATACCGTTATCCATAAATAATGAGAATATGAGTATGAGTATACACTACTTTTACCCGTCTAACCCTATTGGCATCCCAATCTCTATAATTGTTAATAGGTGAAGTTAAGTCAATTTCACTTTATAGACAACATAAAGTCAGCAACAAATGAAAAGAGGAATTTAATTTTGATAGTAAAAGTTATCTACTGAATAATATAATTATCATACATGAATAGTTTATTAAAACTATTTTACTAGCTTGCATAATCATTACTTTAAAATGTGCTAACTCTTCTTTCACGTGTTAAGGCCAGGTAATATTTATGAATAGTAGCGAGTCTCCATAAAAGTAGAAAAATGCAACCAATCATGGGACATAGAAATAATTTTTTTGATAAAGAATAAATTAACTTTATAGAATATAGTGTTGTACAAAGTTTTAGATATTTACACCAACTTGCAAAATATAAAAAAAAGTTAAGAAACAAAAGAAGTGAACCAAATCCAAGATCTAATTTGAATTAGATCAAGAATGTGCACATGACTTGGAGCTTTCTCCAAAAAAAATCACTTCATTTCTCATAATCCACACAGATCAAACCATGTCACAAACCAAAACATTCTCCACAATTTTGCACATCTACCACTTTGAAGGGATTCATTAAGCTTGAAGTACTCTAGAATTGAGGAGAGAGTTAAAACATATATTTGTAACAAAAAATAAAAACATTTCCAAACACTTGAAACAAAGTCAAAAGAGGTAAATAAATGATCAATAGATTCAACTTGATTATTGCAGAACGTACAAACCATATCATACACCCTCACAATAACATTCCTTTTAAATAATTCATCTTTTGTTGGTAGCCTTCTTCTTATAAGTTTCCAGACAAAATATCAAATATTTGATGGCACAAAGTTAATCTAATATTTTTTTAACTCTTTACCTATAAGATATTGTTGATGATTAATTCATAGTTTTAACCACATAGTCACCTAGCCATCTAATCCCCATCTCCATCTATCAAGAATATCTATTTTATAGGAACGATGATGAATCAAATTGTACAAATTATGAGTCATTGATTCCTCTTTGCCAAAAAAAGATTTTTCCTCCACTGAATTTTCCAGATCTCACACATGGAAATGAATTATATGATCATTGTGTTTCAACTCATTCAACCTTTTAGAGAAGGGAAAAAAGAAGTTGTATTCATCTCCACTCCACCTATATATATATATATATATATATATGTATAATTTAATTATAGAGAGATAAAAATGTATACACAAAAAATGCAGGTATGAATTTTATACATTATTATTATATCCTCTATTATTTATATTTAATTATTATTGACTCTTAAAAGTAAATAATTCAAATGAATAATAGATAATATAATAAATATCTACCATTTTTTACACTAACAGTGCATAAATGTTACACTTTTAATGACTGCACCTCTTATTTCACCTCTTTCAAAAGTTACTTCACTTATCTCTTTAAAGAAACTTGGCATAACTATAATTACTTCTCATGTAAGTAAGAAAGATAAGTGTAATAAAAAATCAAATACAAATAAAAAAAATTG